AAGATATCATATGCGCTCAACTCTTGTCTTTCGTCATGAAGAACGGGCGCAAAGAGTTAACGCTGGAAGTGATCGATGACTTCCAACTCGACTACTTAGACAAGAAGGCCATCAATGAGTATAAGAAATCGAAGACAATGGCCGCCAGAGCCCAGCGGACACCCAAAACCCCGGCCTCGCGGTCCGGATTCAACGCCAACGACAGCTTTAAGGCTTTGCTTAAAGAGATGAACAGCGGATCCGATGACAGCAAACCGGCGCCGACACGGCTTTTCACTCGAGTATTGATCCAATGGTCATGTTTTTTATGATATGTTTTTATCTGTTTTTATGTTAACTTTAGATCGAAATCGCATCCAATGACGAGTCCAGTGCTGTCGAAGACAAGAAACTGGAAGAGATTAGTGTCACAGAAACGACAACACATGATGTGGTGACCGTTGAAACGCCGAAAACACCCGAAAAAGTGGTAAATGAGACACCAATGTCTCCCGAAATGGTGGACCAGACCATTGAGTACATGGATGTGAGCGCAATGACCACTCCATGCGTGACAGCGACCGCTATTAACGAGTCTATCAATACATCTCTCAAGTAATTTACTCATAAATTTGTTTGTTTTTTGCATTTATTTACCGTTTTATTTGTTGCCAGAATTGACGACACGATTAACTCGAATATATTGTGTTATTTCGGGAACTCTTACTCCGACAAAGAGTGGCGGAACCGATCGAAAGTCGAACACAGCGTCAAACTATACGACCCGACGATTACGTTAACCGAAAACTTTAAGTTTATGTCATTGAAGATTACAGAAACCAATGAGATATTGAACGACATTATTGACGAGTTTTCAGAGCTTCTTCGGGAAGCGCTGGACATTGAATCGTGGAATCAGTTTTCAATTCCCAGTCCTATCGAAGCCTATTATATCGGACGCGTTTGCTATGACTGCAGCTCTAAGACCAAGCTATCGGACGGTACGATACGACTCGAGGGCTCCCGGTATCTGACAAATAGCGAATCCATTGATCTGGACTTAAGCCGTTTGAACAGCTATTCTCTGTTTGCGGGGCAAGTGATGGCCTGTAAGGCTATCAACGAATCGGGCAAAACACTTGTTGTTCAAGAGATCATGGATTTCGATAAGATTACGGGTTCGCCAGGAGTTACGCCATCGTTTGTCCACCCCTTGAATCTGGTCGTAGCCGTCGGGCCATTCAATACACACCAATCGCTGGATTTAGAGCCGTTGCGGAAGTTTATGTCATACGTGCGCCGCTATGAGCCCGACTACTGCCTACTCTTAGGCCCATTCGTGGACACTATGAACGAGAAACTGTTGACCACCGATGAGCCCATCGATCGTATATTCAATTCGCAGATGCGATACATCGCCGAAGAGTTGGCAGATGTGAAGACTGAGGCGATTGTGGTTCCGTCCACTCGTGATCTCAATGTGTTCAACACATTGCCTACAATGCAATTCAATTCGTATAAATCGCATAAAATTCATTACTTTTCCAACCCATGCGTACTGAACATCGCCGGCGCCGTCATCGCCATGACGTCCACCGATGTGTTGCTTCATCTGAGCAAAGAGGAGATCTCTGCGTACGGTTCCAGTCATTCATTCATGTATTTTATATTTTAATTTAATTGTTTTTTTTTATAAAATAGTGGCCAAAGTATTGACCGATTGTCCCGTCTCTGCAAACACATCATTAATCAGCGAAACTTTTACCCCATATTTCCGCCCAATCCTGACGTTAACGTTGAGTTCACAAAATACGATTACATGCGACTACCGGTCAGTCCGCACATACTTATANGACCGATTGTCCCGTCTCTGCAAACACATCATTAATCAGCGAAACTTTTACCCCATATTTCCGCCCAATCCTGACGTTAACGTTGAGTTCACAAAATACGATTACATGCGACTACCGGTCAGTCCGCACATACTTATAGTGCCGTCGGATCTCAAAGAGTTTGTTAAGGTTTGGCCAAAATTAGTGATTTGAATTGATGTGAAATTAATTGAACTGTTTTTTGTGCAGAATATTTCCCGATCAGTGGTCATAAACACGGGTCGAGTGTTCAAAAACAAATTCACTCGAATCCGTATCGATCCGATTGATCGCAAGTCTTTCAATGGTTCCCTCGAGAGCTATACCAATGTTGAGATCATTAAAATGAAAGACGATTAATGTTTGTTTTTAGCAATTATTTATTTTTATAAAAGTATAGTCTTTTAAATTTACA